CAATTTTTTCAAAAATATACCTAAAATTTCGTTTTAATTTCATTTTACTACTCCTTTTCAAAATTTAACGCTAATTTTTTGAATTTTTTTAAAAGTTTAGGCACTAAAATGGACAAAAACTGACAGTTTAGGTATTAAACACGCTAATTTTTTAACAGTGGGGTACTAAAATGAAAAAAATTAACATTAAGTATGGTTTTAAAAAAATTAAAAATTTAAGTACTAAGACAGACGAAAACTAATAGTATATGTACTAAATGTGTAGTTTAAGGCTTAATTTTAATTTGAGATTAAGCTCATTAATTCTAAAGTCAATTATCAATAGTTTAAGGTTCTGTTATTACGCAATTGGTGTATAAATTGAAGTGGTAAGAAGCAATAATATTGTTAGAATTGAATGCAAAGAAGGGTTAAATTGCTTTACGTGAAAAGAATAAAGGGTAAAGTACACAAATGGTCCTTCAACTATAAGGTATTATTTTATTAAGTCCATTGACTATTAAAAGTTATAAAATGGTCCTCTAATTATAGAGTGTTACTTTGTTGAGTCCCTTGAATATTAAAAGTTGCAAAATGGTCACCGTCTATTCATTATATTCCAAAATCATATTTTTTTCGTTAAAAATTTGACGATATGCCGAACGTTAACCTGCTGATTGTGATATAATAAAATATGATAATGGAATCTCAAATGACTATCATATTTCAGTCATCATTCTAACGTCCAGCTTAGACAATCGTTAATTTTTGAACGAAAATGATGACTTTGAACGTTATGAATAATCAGGTGATCATTTTATAACTTTTAGTAATCAAGGGACTTAATAAAATAACATTGTATAATCGAATGACTATTTTATAACTTTTAATAGTCTTTTTAATATTTTTAATGGAAAAATTAAACAAACATCAAAAGATCAAGTATTATTACAATGATAGGTTATAACAAAAGTAATTTTTTATTATTCTAAGGTAAGTACAAGACAATATATGTTAAAAAATAACTCTAAATATTTTGACTTTGAAGGCTCACACCCTTGACATCTATAGTGCTCGAACTCGAGCCCTTAATGAATAACACCAATTCTTTTACCACGAATGCCGCTTGATTCGTGCCCAAAAACGTAGTACAAACACATATTTCAGACATATTCATATAATAATTAACACAAAAACTAGTCATTTGAGATCATACAATAATCATATTAAGAAAATGTTAAAAACTTATCCAAAAACTCGAACAAAAGATAAATACGAAGAGATCTGCCTGCATTAACAAATAAACCACAACAGTGGGTCTAACTATTGAAATATCATCAATAATCACAAATCAAAGTAAAAAAAAATATTGGAACGTAAACCGCGTATCTAAATCCAATATAAAAGTTATCGCGTATCCGAAACCTATGACTTTTTAAACAAGTGAGTATGTAAAATCCTAAAAAGATTTCTTTCTAGCATCTTGTTTGGCAGAAGACGAATCTGTCTTGGTGTTGGTCATTGACTGCATGTATTCCTTATTTTTCTTTTATTTGTTTATGTTGTATATTTTTTAGGCGATCGGTCAACCAGGATTCTCAAGTTACAATTGGATATGCAGTTTGTGTTCGAAAATAATTTTCTCATGACGCTCGTAACTCGACTCTAATTTGTGATTATCGATGATCTTCCGGTAGTTTGATCTCATATTGTGATTCGTTTGTCGATACAATAAGATTTATTTATATTTATATATTTTTTAAATAATTTTAGTCATAACCTATTTCTATTTCAATTCAATAATTAATAATAATAATAATAATAACGAATAAAAAGAAAGCAAATCCCAGGAAAATCAATAATAAACCCACATCATGCGTGGTACGTAATTGTGAGCTTACGTATTTAATATTTAAACTATTATTTTTGACTTATTTTAATACCTAAATTTTTAATTTTTTAAAATGATACATAACGTTTAGTTTTTATTTTATTTTAGTATATCACCGTTAAAAACTTAATACACTTAGTACCTAAACTATCAGTTTTGATTCATTTTGTAACTAAACTTTTAATTTTTAAAAACTTAACGTTAAATTTTGAGCAAGAATACTAAAACGAAACAAAAACTAAAGTTTTTAATGACTAGATATTAAAATGAAATAAAAACTAAACTTTAGATATGATCTTAGAATTTAAAAGTTTAAATACTAAATTAAATTAAAACTAATAATTTAAGTACTAAACGCACGTAATTTACCCATTTGTTATATTTAGATAGAACGTGGGTAGTTTCTTAAAAAATATTTTAAAAAAATATTGTTTGCCTTTTCTTTTCTCATAGAATTATGGGTAATTTTATCTATTTTTATAATACAAATTTTATGATATTGTAATACATTTTTCTTCTTAAAGCTAAATTTAATAGTCTCTCCAAATTTAAATGACATTTATTTAATTATATATCTCTATTTTAGACTTTCAATTTATTCAAAAAAAACTTTCAAATTAAATGTTAATAGGTGTTTGTAATTACCAAAAGGGTAAAGTACACAAATGATCTCGACTATAGGACATTATTTTATTAAGTACTTCAACTATTAAAAGTTATAAAATGGTCTTTCGACAATATAGTGTTACTTTATTGAATCCCTCAACTATTAAAAGTTGTAAAATGCCCATCCGACTTTTCATTATGTTCCAAACTCGTCATTTTTCTTTTAAAAAAATTGACACTATTTTGAGTTGAACGTTAAACTATTAACTGTGATATGATAAAATATGATATCAGAATCTCAAACGACCGTCATATCTTATCTAGTCATCTCATTAACGTCCAACTTAGACAACCATCAATTTTTTTAACATAAAATGACGAGTTTGAAATATAATGAATAGTTAGTGATCATTTTGTAACTTTTAATAGTCAAGGTTTTTAACAAAACAACATTCAATAGTTGAAGAACCATTTTTGTAATTTTAATAGTCAAAAGACTTAATAAAGCAATACTCTATAATAGGGGGACCATTTGTGTACTTTACCCCTTAAATATGTTGTAATTAAATTATGTTAATATTAAGAGTAAACTACTCAAATATCATCAAACTTTAGGCATTGTATTGTTTATACCATTGAACTTTCAATTTTTCCAATTATAACACTGAACTTTGATTTTCGTTTCAATTATAACACTAAACTGTTAAGTCATTAACGGAATGATGAAGTAGCTAATGACTGTCAATGTGACTGATGGATATCGACATAAACACCTCACTAAAACGGCATCATTTTAATCCGACTGTTAACAATACAAATATCTAATGATATAATTAAAACGAAAATCAAAGTTCAATATCATAATTAATAAAATTGAAAGTTCATTGCATAAACGACATTACCTATAAACGACATCACCTAAAATTCGGTAATATCAAATTTAGTTTACCCTAATTTTAATTTGTCAAAATCATTATTTGAAAATAAGAACAAAAAAGTTTATAAAATAATTTGAACACTAAAAAAATACATCGTAATGTCATTCTTTATTTGTTGTTGTACAAAGAGGCTTTTGCCTCGGAATAAAGGAAAGAGTTCGCAGATGCTGATGTTCGAATCGAGATCAACTAGAACCGTTAAAAGGCAACTGCATGAACCGAACTAAACCCGGTTCGATGCCGAGTATCTTCGCCCGAAAAGACTGTACATCGACTGATCCTCTAGTCCTACAAATCATGTGGTTCGAATTTGGAAGCAGAATTATACAAGGCATTCCAATGAATTGGTATGAACCCCATGGGTTGGCATTTAAAAGAAGCTGGCTAGATTCTAACGAACACCGAGAACGGTATCAGGATGTGATTTTCCTATGCAAATCGAATCATATGAACACCGGTGTATGCGCCCTACATAGTATTTCTATACCTGGTTTTGGTCCTATGTGTCGACAAAAAGCTACACGCAAACTATACATGGCTCTGCTGCACGTTGTTTTCAAATTCTCGGACACTGTCAACTATGTGTTGGATTTTCTTTGACAGACTCTCATTGTACTCTTCGATTGCTCGAAGATCAATTCTAGATGCCTTTTATATGTTGCAGCTCTTTTCTTCTCAATGGCTAGTTGCTGTGTTAATTCTCGGATTCTGTGATGTTCATTCTGCAAAAGAAAGAATAAGATTATCAGAACAAGTTGCAGTACAGAGAATTTATTACAATGTTGAAACCGACGACTTTACGGTAAGAGCATTTAATGGGAACTTATAACGACGATGTTTAATCCAGAGGACCAGAGCTGCATTCCATAAGAACAACTGCATACATGAGCTACAATGGCAATATTGCTAAGGCGAAAGTAAATTCTGCCATATTTACCAACGTAAAAATGGCTATTTGGTCGATTAATGTCTACCGAGGCAATCCCGAATATTAGTTTTTGTCGTAAAGCTGAAAATGAGATTTTAGAGGCTAAAATCCTGACACTGAAAAGAGTTGTGACAGGAAGTTCATAGGCAGATTAAATGACATGAAACAAGACGCGGTATTCTCGGTAATGTCAAACAATTCCGATAAGACGACACTGTCTAGAACGTTATATTTTGAAATGACTTAAGACAACAGCTCTAGTTAGGGAAAAGTAGCTCCCATCCATCCAAATATATGAACAAGAGACCACAAAAATAAAATATCTGTTGTTTGCTTGAAGGCAAGTGGAGAAGGCGAGCAGGCAAGCATGTTAATGACTTCATTTGAGTATACTTCTTACCTGACAGGCTAGCACTTTGAAAGCCATATATTCCTATTCTTGCTCCGAATTTTCATTTTTCCGAAAGTATCCGTGTTCAACATGGATATGGAGGGGTATAATTCTTAAAATCTACGAAAAAATTATAAAAATTGAAACCTTAAATTTTCTACTAGCCCTTCTCCTATTTCCCGAAAATCTCCATCCCCAACCAAAGAAGATTCAATTTCCAATCAGTAAGGATGAACTGATATAGACTGTGAAAGAATATGTATGTCTCAACGCAGTACAGCAGAAATGAATTTAGTACAATAGTGAAAACTGACCGGGAATTGATCGTATATGCACTCCCTTCGACCTTTTCCATCTGTTAGAGGATGTGTGCTCCTTCACAAATTTGGTGACAATCCATTTACCTGAACTTACTTTCCTCACCAAAATCATCACCCTGCATCCAACCCTCGTCTCTGCCCTTTGCCTCATGATTTTTTCTCACTTGTCGGGCGTTCTGAAACCCTCTTTGTTACAAACAAGGGCCCTTCCGATGGGAGATCCATCACGCCTTGAACGGGAAAGTTTGCTTACACGAATGATGAATCCTACCCTCGTGGCATATGCATTATAATACGCATGTGCAGCTGCCTCAGATTCAAACTCTTGACCCTCATAAGGCTCATCAGCCGTAGCAACCTCAGGGAAGTCGCCATTTTCTGGAGAAGTTTGATCCAACTTGTCATTCAGACTCGGTTGGAAAATCCCTTCGACAGGATTTTCACTTGTTTCATTTTCATTGTCCATGCTACTACTACCCTCCACTTGGACCGAATTCAAGAGGATGCCACCATTAACATCACCATGAACCCCAAACTCCACTGCGAGAACAAGCATTTTCTGTAATTATTTCTATCGAAGTCGAAAATGGCTAACTGCCTTCAACTTCATAGAACTAAAGTAACCACAGAGTGACATTGACATTACATTCAATCTCATGAACTTAACCGATATTTACCGAAAATCGAACACAAGTAAATTTCCTGAAAAAAATGCTTTTAATGCAACTTACATTGAATCTGGTTTCCAAGAAAGCTAAGTAAAAAAATGCAAGGAAAACACATGATAATTCTAAATGTCAGTTCTGAATCAGAAATTTCATAAAAATGAAAGGATAAAACGAACATAAAAGAAATTTCACGAGTCCAACTTGAAGTCAACTCTTGAATTCAAGCTTTCTCCTTTTTCTTTCTCTTTCTTTCGTTTTCCTTTTCAATTTCCCTTCATTTTACTAGCAACCAAACAGATTCCAAAAAAACTGAAATTACCAGAACAAACAAAATGATATCAGATCTAATAAAAATTCAAAACTGACAACCTTATCACCTACACGCACAATTTATCGGAAATCAAACAGCAAATAAATTAATAAATCGAACGAAAAATAGAATATAATTAAATCTATCCATTGGCACTTTACAATGAGCAATTAATCAAAAAATTAATTCAAATAAACGTTAAAAAGACTAAAATTAAACCTAAATTAATGAAAAATAAGAACCTTACTCGAAAATGTAACGTTAACGGGGAATGAAATTGTGGATGATCGATTAGGGTGTCGGAGGAAGGCGAAACTTTCTGGGGGAGTGCGAGACCAGCGTTGGGGATTATAGGAACGCAGAAAGAACGAACGTGGCGAGATTTGATTAGGTTTAATATAGTATAAGTCAAAAGCTTCGTATTGGCTAATGAAATGTCGACACGTGTTCAAACAAGGTGGACCTGACCTCGCTTGATCATTGTTTCGCTCTTGGTCGGGCAAAATCGCGGAAGACTCGGGTTTCCTTCCAAAATCCAAAACCCGACCCCTTTTTTACATTTAATACAGTACAATTGATTACTGTTCGTATAATATTCATATGTTAAGTTAAATAAATAAATATATATAATATTTTTGATAAATAACGTAAATGGTTTTTCAATTATGGGGTATTATTTTATTAAGTTCATCGGTTATTAAAAGTTATAAAATAATCATTTAATTATAGAGTGTTACTTTATTGAGTATTTGATTATTAAAAGTTATAAAATAATCATCCGACTATTCATTATGTTTTACACTCGTCATCTTTCATTAAAAAATTGACGTTTGTTTAAGTTGGATGTTAACCTAATGACTATGATATGATAATCGCTTGAGATTTTGAAGTTAAATTTTATGATATCATAGTCAACAAATTAACGTTTAACTCATAATATCGTCATCTTTTAATAATATAAGACGAGTTTGAAACATAACGAATAATCAAGTAATTATTTTATAACTTTTAATAATTGAAATACTCAACAAAATAATACTCTAAAGCTGAATAATCAATAGTCTAAAAACTTAATAAAGTAATATCCAATAATCAAGAGACTATTTGCTTAATATTTATAGAGTAATTTATCGTCTTCATATTTATGTTGAGATTATAAGCCCAAAATCAAGTTTCCTACGTATTATTCTAGTGGAAAAGAACATGAAAACAGCCAAAAACTCAGCAGAGCTTCCATGGCTTCCCATACATACATAACCAGAAACACACACATTCACATACATGCAGGCATGCATATATATTGATTTTCATCAAAATCAGTATTTTGTTCTTCCATCACCCTCTGTGATCACATCTTTGAAAGCCCCTCCGCTTGGGATCATAGGCAACACATGTTCTTGATGTGGGACGATCACGTCTAGCAAGTACGGTCCGGGTGTCTCCAGCATTTTCTGGATGGCCGCTCGGAGATCTTCCTTCTTCGTCACGCGAGCGGCGGGTATTCCGCATGCTTCTGCGAATCTCGACATGTTCGGGAATATCTCGGACTCGTTCGACGGGTTGCCTAAATACGTATGAGCTCTGTTCGCCTTGTAAAACCGATCTTCCCATTGGACAGTCATGCCTAGATGCTGATTATTTAACAACAATATCTTGATGGGGAGTTTCTCCACGCTGATTGTCGCCAACTCTTGGACGTTCATCATGAAACTTCCGTCACCGTCGATGTCCACAACAACAGCCCCGGGATTTGCGACGGCGGCTCCAATGGCAGCGGGCAATCCGAATCCCATTGCTCCCAATCCCCCTGATGTCAACCATTGGCGTGGCTTCTTGTGCCTGTAAAACTGAGCAGCCCACATCTGATGCTGGCCAACGCCAGTACTTATAATTGCATTCCCATCCGTTAATTCGTCGAGAAGCTGAATCGCATATTGAGGCGGAATCGCTTCCTCGAAGGTCTTATAATTCAAAGGGTATTTCACCTTCTGTTCATTTAACTCCTCCCTCCAAGTTGAATAATCGAGTTTAAGCTTAGCTTCCTTATTCTCCAATATCCTATTAATCCCCTTCAAAGCCAATTTGACATCGGAACAAATCGACACATGAGGCTGCTTATTCTTCCCGATTTCGGCTGAATCAATATCAATATGCACGATCTTGGCCCGCCTGGCAAAAGCCTCGAGTTTTCCGGTCACACGATCATCGAACCGCACACCAAAAGCAAGCAACAAATCACTCTTATCAACAGCGTAATTAGCGTACACGGTTCCATGCATCCCAAGCATTCGTAACGACAACGGATCCGAGCTCGGGAACGAGCCGAGACCCATTAAAGTACTCGCGACCGGTATTCCGGAAAGCTCGACGAATCTCTTCAACTCCTCACTGGAGTTCAAACACCCACCACCAACATACAACACGGGCTTCTTCGATTCCGAAATCAATCTCACAATCTGCTCCAACTGAGCCTCACTGGGATCCTTAGGCAATCTAGACATATAACCAGGCAATCGGAGCGGCTGGTTCCACTTCGGAACGGCAGGTTGCTGTTGTATATCCTTCGGTATATCGATCAAAACGGGGCCGGGTCGACCCGAGGTAGCTAAGAAGAAAGCTTCACTAACAATCCTAGGGATATCATCAACATCAAGCACAAGATAATTATGTTTCGTGATAGATCGTGATACCTCAACAATCGGAGTCTCTTGGAAAGCATCGGTTCCGATCATTCTCCGAGGGACTTGACCCGTGATCGCCACTACAGGAACACTATCGAGCATCGCGTCGGCGAGACCGCTCACCAAGTTAGTCGCCCCCGGACCAGAAGTTGCAATACAAACGCCGGGAAGGCCGGAGGATCGCGCGTAGCCCTCCGCCGCGAAAACCCCTCCTTGCTCGTGTCTTGGGAGGACGTTTCGGATCACTTTGGACCTAGTTAAAGCCTGGTGGATCTCCAGTGAAGCTCCGCCTGGGTAAGCAAACACGTTCTTGACCCCTTGTCGTTCGAGGGCTTCCACGAGGATATCGGCGCCTTTTCGCGGCTCGTCAGGAGCATAACGGGAAACGAAAACATGGACAGATGGGGTAGTTGGGGTGACGGCGGAGGCGGCGGAATTTGATTGTGGAAGAGAGCTGGAAACGGTGAGGGAACGGGAAGGCGTGAGCTTTCGAGGGATTGTTGAAAAAGGAAGGACGGATTTAGAACTGAGTAGTGAAGATTTGAAGGAGAAAGCCAAAGGAGAAGGCTTGGGTCGTATGGTGCTTGCAGTAGCCGCCGCCATTGTTGTCGATCAGAGCTTGGCGAGCAAAACAAATGGATTAATAGATTAATTTCCTTTTTATATTCTCTCTTAAAGTATCATTTAAATTTACTTTAAAATAATAAACTAATAGATTAAATATAGATACTTAAAAAAATTAAAATTTAATTTTAAATAACTCATTTCTACTCTTAATTAAATAATTTTTATTGGACTCATTTCTACTTTTAATAGATAAAATATTTCGCCCTAAATTAAAATCTAAATTCAATTTTTTTTTAAAAATATTCTTATAAAATCATATTAAATATCCATTTTTAATCTTGAGCTACGAGGAATCAAGGTCAACACCCACCTACTCCCTCTTGCAAGTTGTAATATTTACGAGAATGCATGTACCACTTGTGATTTTCCTTTTAAAACTTCACATCATGCAAATACTAAACAATTGTGGATTGAGCAATCAAACAGCAATCCAAGCCTAACAAGTTCCAAGTTAAGATTACAGCATGACATTTATTTAAACCCTAAACGACAAAGGCGGCCTGTCCATCAGCATGGACCATACTATGTTTTCTGGCACTGAGTTTTCAGCTGGCTGCATTACATCATTGTCGTTCGAATCTTTTTTCAAAAGTGAAATTGCATGCTATCAAAGTCATATGGGCTTTATACATTTCCAATAAACAACCACATGCAAGAGCTATATCTTCATCATGGGGCTCACCACATCCAATGCGTCATGGGTTTTATATTTTGCTTTTAAGAACGTTCAAACAATGATATTTTATTAAAATATCACGATCATAGAATTATTTTATGATATTTTTTATTACAAAAATGACCATTGATAAGTGATTAATCGAGTTTCTTCTCCAGGAATGCATATCAGCTTATAACAGACTCTGTATCTCAGCCGGCGGATTGTGAATCTCCGTCAGGCCCGCTGATGCCAAGTGGTCGGTTTTGGCTATAGCATCGACTACGCCATTAGCTTCTCGACAGACATGGAATATCTTGATGCTCCAGTTTCGTTGGATAAGCTCACGAGTTAGCCGGGAAATAGTCGGTTTGCATCTTTGACAGGAAGAGGTCAAGATTCTGACAGCTTCAGAGTTGTCCATCTCAACCTCAATACGACGGATACCTCGGTTCCAGGTAATTTGCAAACCGTCCATTAAAGCCCAAACTTCAGTATGAAGTGTCGAGCAACGCCCGATATAGCTGTCGTAGCCCAACAACCATTCGCCATTAAAGCCTCAGAGAACGCCGCCACCCGTCGCTTCCATTGTAGAGAGATGAACCACGTCATCAGAATTCAGCTTATTCACTCCGGTGCTGGGAGGTCTCCAGTTTTGTCTCCTAGAAGCTTGCGCCACCTCGGATCTCTGGTTCTTGGGATGAGCCCGAATCGCCTGCGCCCAGGATCTCGCTAAATGGAAATTTTTTATTTTACAAGAAACACTTGTAATACGATGACACTTTACAATTATACTTTATTATAAAATTATTTTAAGGACCTCATTTTAAAAAACGACTTACGAACGGACGGACATGTGGGCCATAATGTTACATGTACCACATGGATATGCAGCAGCATAAGCTCCTTCAGTGCCACATGCATCACAAGTGAACAGATTACAATAATAAGTTTGAACAATCAAATGTTCACACATTACAACATCAAAACTACAAATACAAAAACATAGTTTGGATAATAAAACACAACAGACATTACAAGTAAACCGGTCGGGACCAAACTCTGTTTTTCAATCATGGACATTCAGTATGCGTAATATAGTTGCATTCGAACTTTGAACATTCGGCAGCCAAATCTACACAGGGCTTACTACAGTCACTGCAATTCGTATAGTAATAAACCCTTTTAACAATAGTGAGAGGATGCTCATGTAGCTCTTCCATTTGGAAGTTAGTCCAGAGTTTAACAAAAGGATATTATCCGATAACACATTTGACATGAGCAGAAGTATTACACCTCGCACTCTGATAAAACCAAAGATTTGGATCTTGGCTTTCTTCACATATGTCACATAAATGACTTTATGAATAATCATTATCATCGTG